CTTTCAGAGTCGCAGGGGATGACTGGAGGGGTAAGAAATCCCTTGTTAAACTTCTCTAAGAAACTTGTGGGTTAAAATAGGCGCTTACGCGTTAAACTTCTCTTCAGGAAATGCCGCCGCTGCTGCTGTTAGTGTCTGGAGGAGCTGAGGGGTAACAGAAACCGGGGACAGTTTCAAGCCCTCTGGGAGCTCGTGCCTGTATCTAGTAATGAAGCCTTAACTACAGTAAAAGCTGCTGTGTCTTACACGGTTTCCAACTTTTCCCTTGTCCTATTGCAGCAATTAAGAAAAACGCCAGCGTAATTACTTCCTGCTTGTTTTCGTCCTTGTTACCAACGTCGGTAGGGTTTGGGATGGAAGACGTAAATCCCCTCGACAAGGAGAGGCATGAGGTGATTACAGTGGCAAGCAGCAGCAGCAGCTTTCTCCTTGCTGGTGAGGTGTGGCGCTCATGTGGCTGAGGCCTGAGCCTATCAGCCAGGTGCTGTCGGCTCTGTGCAGCTTGCGGCCATGCAGCGTGAGTGCTTTTAAATGGCTGAAAAAGTACTTGCTGTAAAACTAGTGTTCGCGTCTCTTTACAGTGTATTAACAACTGGCTGAGGTATAGTGTTAAAAGGTAATGAAAGGTCTCCTGTTTTAAATTACTTTTACACCATTGCTTTGTGTTGCTGTTTTTATTATGATTGAAAAGCATGCTGGTAGCCAGCCTACCTAAGTCTATGCAATGTAATAAACTTAAAACTTGCACCAACGGCCATTAATTTGGAAAATCTTAGGTCTGCTGTCCTGTAAATTGAGCAACCTTAGCACTAGGTAGACCTCTAACGAAAGCTAGTGAATGTTTTGCAATTTTCCTTGTTACTTTAGGGTTCTTTTTAAGATTGCATGTCCTTCTATTCAAGGGTGATACTGGTTTACAACAATGGGCTAAATCTTCAGTATGTTCACTTCAGTACACTGTAAGCTGTCCCTGCAGAAGTTAAGGTTTTACCAAAAAAAAGTCATCTGTGTCTCATACAGGTACAAATAGGAACGTGTGATGCATCTTGTGTCTCATCTTCATTTTAGACACTACAGTTACAGCAGTGTCTGAAGTAGTTTAGCAGGTTCTATTATTTTACTGCTGTTTTTTTTAAACTTGGTATGTTGTGACTCTTTTCCTGAGACAACCTTTCAAATCTTGTGCACAAGAAGCTTCACATTCCTTACTTCAGTCAGGAATTGTAATAGCTAGTCATGTAATTCTCCCTGAACTTTAAGATCTTCCCAGGCTACTTTTATTAGGAGGCTGTTTTATTTTAAAACACTATTGAAATCTGGCAGTATTTTCAAATAGGTGTTTTAGATATTTGCCTTGCCCAGTGAATGCAAAGAGTTAAATATATTAGCACAAACTGAAAATAGAATAATAGAAAGAAATGTTGACTTCGAAGTGCATAATGTTAATTTAATAGTGTAGTGTAAAATGGGTTCATAACATTTTATTAACTTTCTTAGACGCACCCATCTACTCTTAAACTTCACTCTTTTGAGTAAGCGATCCTACCTGTGAAATTGTGTCTTGTTTCCTTTCACAGTAAGTGCGCATAAGGCACGTGCACTCCTTTTACAGGAATTTTCCTGTTCATTTCAAAAAACACTAGGAAGGGTCTCACTGTCTGTGGAAGCTTCATGCTCATGCTGCTTAGTGTTTGCAGCTTAGAAAATTAAAAACACAGTGCTTGCGTACATTTCCTATGGATTAATGTTTTCTAGATCAGTTTAAGGCTAAATAGCCCATTGAATGTTTCAGCAGCTGTTTGCGTTGTGAAAGGGACTTGTTATTTAATATACTGCTCTTTTATTTGGTGGCGTACATTGTAATTATTGCAGAAGAGTTGTCACTGTACTTGCTTAAGATACCTTTTCTTACTAGTTCTCTCTCTTTGTTTTAAACTGTGGATGATTTAGCTTTGCCTGTTTGAATTACTACTAATACTGGACTATGAGCCTGTTTCTGCTGGCTTAAGAATGCTGTTAGGACACTGTTGGGTGTCTTCCCTCCCCATGCTTCATATACTGACTGTTTTCTTTCAACTTGTGTCATCTTGCTTCCAGAAACTTGCCACTTGAGTTGGAGTGAACATTAATGATGGTAGAGTCTTTCATAGTTTCTAGGGCTATTCCAGGTCTCTTGCATAAAGCACATCTGATGCTTGTCTAGCATATCATGCAGTTAAAATGCTTGCATAAGAATTTAATTAGTTTTCAGTTTATTTAAATATAACCTTGTCCAAAGAGGTAGTCCAATATTTGACTTTCCTTTTTTACTGATCTTCTTAAATTAAGGTGTCTAATTAGTAAATATTTTGCTTCAAATTTTCTCTAATCTGTCATACTACTTTGTGTGTGACAGATCATCTCCTTGATCGTGAGTATATCTACTTACCTAATGTCATTCTAGCTATTCTACCAACATGAACACAAAGAGAGGAGGTCTGGTGCTTTTCAGCATGAACATCCCTGAATGGAAACTGGCTAGTGTGACTGTAGCAGAGGGTATGAGACACAGTTAATGTGTACTCATATGAGCAAGGCTGTGGCATATAGGGAAGTGTAATGCATGTGGTTACATTCTGTCTCATGTACTACACTTGTTGATAACACCTGCAGAATGTGGTAAGCTATGCTTACATTTCTTGTGAGTCCCAAGAAAATGGGGATCTGGGTAGAGATGAAGTAACACAATTTAGTGTTCCCTATTGAAGGAAACGTGATTACAACTTAGCTACTGAGCTAGCACCTCTCTGGTCACAGGACTTAACAGCATGTGCATAATTCTCAGGCTATGTACTGCCAGTTCCCTTCTTGTATGGTTAGGAGATGTGTAAGGGAACAAATCAAGGATCACTTTTGTGGAGATGGGAAGGAACTCATAATACTGAGGAGGGGAGGGATAAGGGCCATAAACGTGTTGGAAACTGGGCTCCAGTGATTCTTTTGCTTATTAAATAGGTTAAGGCTATTCTTAAGGTTTGTACAATTATTTCTAAGTAACAACAGCTGTTGGAGTGCAGTGTTCTCTGTTACTGCTGCTCTGCAAACATTCAGTGTGTTTAACAATATGTGCTTGCAGTTTTCCTTGAAATCCTGTAATTCAGCTGGTTTGCAATGACCATGAAGGAAGGTTTTAGCTAATTGTTTCATCTTCTTGAATCCCAGATTCATGGAAGTTTTTTCTCAATCTATTTTTCTCATATTATCAAATCATCTAAGATCATGTAGTGGAGACTTTGTTTTGTTTATCTGTTCTTTTGATAAATATTTCTGATGGTTTTGGAAAATGTTTATTTTAGGTACATAGTTGAAATGCCTTAAGCTTGGTAAGACTTCAGAGTGATTTGTAACCATGCAGGTATAAAAACCTATGAAAAGCATTCATGTAACTGTTTATTTAGTTGCTTTATAAAGCTAAACTATCCCAGGTCTTCTGATGTCTAAAAACACGATTTGATGATTGACTTTTTATGAAAGTGTGCTTTTTTCCTGGCCAAGCAAACAGTGTAGTTGGTGCTGAAATGGAATCTGAGATCTTCTTTGATAGAAACTTCCATTCTCATTTATGTAGTACATGAAGATGGAATTTACAATTAAACACACATGGGATGGTTTACCCGTGAGCCATGAGCCAGTAACGATTGTGCTGAAGTCGGACAATGCAGGACTGCTAATGGAAGTTAATGCTCCCTTCTTTAATGATCCTCCAGCACCACTTGGAGAGCCAGGGAAACCTTTTAGTAGACTGTGGGACTATGAGGGTAAGTGTAACTGTTCTGCTGCAAATGTATCTGATTTGTGTAGACACTGATGTTCCTCTGTAGTTAATATGCCTGGTCTTTATTTAAGAGTCTATGATGGTTATTTTTTCAAACTGGTCTAATGGTTGTGAGTGTATGACATCTAATTCAATTTGGTTTCTTTGGTCACAGTACTGTTTTTAAAGATCAGATCTGAAATGTACAGTAAAAAAATTTCCTTTCTCTGGGGAAGAGTACTAAGGAAGAATTTAGTTGTAACCACTGCCTTACCCTTAAACAGCTCCTTAAGTAACTATAAGCCACGTACTATATTCAGCTGTAAACCACCCCAAACTGCGTCAAGACTGATGCTCTTTTTCAAGGTGGTGAATTAATTTTCATCACTAACACTGCTGGCTGTAAGGTGAGTGGTTGTTTTATTGTAGTGCAACAATACAAATGACTGGGAAAAGAAGCAAATATGTTCTGTCACTTGGTGGCCATATGGTGTCACTCCATTGTGAGTATGATGAGCTGGATTGATTTCAAGAAGGATGACGCTGACTCTTCCTGATCCTGTCAATAGTATAGGCACTCAAACTTAGTTCTGGGTTACTGATATAACTTGTGGAATAATAGAGGCTTTACATATTTGAATATCAAACTAATTTTGTGGCATATATATATATATGCATTTGCAGTAGGTAAATAGAAGTGAAATCCTAAAGATAGGTTCTACTTTTGCTTTAAGAAGTAGAGAGCAATAGCTAAAACATTTGTCTATTTTAATCACTTTTCCAAAGTATATTTGAGGAATAGGAAGATGTGAAACAAAGGGCAGCTTATAAAATATGATTCAAAACTGTACCCAAATGGAATGGGAATATTCTTACAGTAATGCTGTTTTCTTTCTCCTTCCCTGTCAATACTTTCACTTTTACCTGTTGCTTTGAATAATGCAATAATTCAATGTTTCCAGCAATTCTCTGCTTCTTGATTATTGAGCTATTCTGATTAAAGCTCTACTAGAATAATACTAGCACATCTTTGATATTATTATACTAAATAGGCTTATGTAAAAATAAAATAAAGTTAGCAATCATATCTAACTATAATTCTAACTAAATCTTTCTAATAATGTCATTGGTGTAAGAAACACCAATGCTTTGTGTTCCTGAAAGGTGATTCAGCATCACAACTGGCTTTCAGGTGCACCTGGAACAGTAATCCCCTGTCCAAAGTATCAGCCATCTACAGGGAAAAGCCATTTAAGAGCTAAATGCTTTCTTACTGTTTCTGAGATTTAGCAGTCTTAGTTATGGGGTGTGTGCTCTGCTGTGAGTGTATGTTCCTCTTTTCATTTTTTTTCTTGTCTCTGGTGCTCTGAATCCTCAGGCTACCAGCAAACACAAGGGTTCTGCACTTGAGTGCTCTACCTGGAGCACATGCTGTGAGTATGATTGACTAGGATCACTCTATCTTGGTCAGCTTTGTTCACAGCAAGCATACTAGGTGAAATAGATGTGTGCTGATGCTTTTCTTACTGCTTTGGCAGCTAACATTAATTATTAGACCTGCCATTTTTCTGCTGCGTCAAGATGAGTGTTTCCAAAGCTGGAGTTGGTAAAGTAAATAAAATCACTACAGCGCCTTATAAAGCTCTTTATGATGATAGGCATTTTAAAAATAAAAGCTCTTCAAGTTACAATTATGGCACAGCATATCAAATAGTTAGGAAGCTGTCAGTAACATGTACACAGAAACTCTGGCATGGCACAGGCCAAAAATCTTGAAAACAGAATTGTTTTAGTGGGATGTGAAGGTGTCAGGATATTACAACATAGTTAATACTGTCAGTAGCATGTACACAGCTAGAGAAACTCTGACATGGCACAGGCCAAAAAATCTTGAAAACAGAATTGTTTTAGTGGGATGTGAAGGTGTCAGGATATTACAACATAGTTAATATAAAATACTGACAGCCTGCTTTTTTTTTAGTTGTAGAAGCATTTTTCCTGAGTGACAGAACTGAACAGTATTTAGAAGTTGAACTTTGTCCGTAAGTACAGCACTCTGAAAAAGTCACAAATGTTAATTTGCATTTCCAGTTCTAATGCTTGTAAGATATATGTATGAGGAAGGCTGAGTACAGAAATTGTTCTAATATGGGGAATATACACATTTGTGGCAGAACAGTACACTAATAACTTGACATCATTTTAAGAAAATTGTGCTTTGATTTTTTTTGACAGCCATGGACAACACTTGTTGCTGCTGCTTTCTGGCAAAAGAAGAGTATGGAAAGTAAGTGGTCAAGTACATTCATAATGTACAGAAAAACTAATTGTTTTTAGGTACATGTTGCCTGATTGGAAGGTGACGTTACCTGCTTTTTTTTTTCCTCCTTTAACAGGAAGAACTTCCTTTAGAGTTTGAGGTGACCAGAATGAAAACCAAATGGGAGGGTAAAGCTCATCTTCCTTGGAATTATTTTCCACCACGCACTAACAAGTTCAATGCATTTGCAATTCATGGCTCAGGAGAAGAGAGAAAATATGAAGCGCTTCATCCTGTGCCTCGACATGAATTACAGGAAGGACAGAAACCAGATTTGTAAGCATGAAATTAGCTCTTTTGTAATATAGTTGCACTATTCTTGGAATACTTAAAAAAGCTAATCTAGTTTTCAGATTGAGTGCCACTAGTATTTTAATTATACTGCTTAGCCCCAGATCCATTGGCACTATACTTTGTATAAAGCATTGTGGCAGATTAGCTGTAATTAGCGCTTGATTTCTATTTTATCCCCTAGGTGCATAGAAAATGATGCATTCAACACCATTGGCATGTGTTTTATCACCTTCCTCAGCTAAATCATAGATAGGTTGTTCTACTTTTTCCTTGCCTCCAGCACCTCCTGAAATGCCATTTAGTGTTAATTTCACCAGATGCATTTCCAGTAAATCTCTTTTGCTTCTCCCCTACTGTTCTAAACAACCTCACCTCTACAGATGGCTCCATATTATGGAAAAATTTGAAAAGGCAGACTAAACTGAAAAGTATAATAAAAGGATACCCAGTATCAATAGAAAAACTAGAATATCTTAAATTGTGCTTTGGGCCTGTTTATTTTCTTTGACTGTGAGGCTGAGATGATTTGATAAAAACTGCTACTTCTGGGCATTTTGTATAAATGAAGTAGGTCTAGCGGGTATGCTATAGTTCTTATGCAAACTTGTTACTCAACACACAATGACAGCCAGGTAAGGTAAATTTTAGATAAGTTACCCTTTTTTGCCTTTATTTAAGAAAAACTTAGCTTCTGCAACTGTTTATTTAAAAAAATTCTAAGCTATTGCTAATAAAATACTTTATCAGTGTTCCGAAAGAAATAGATACTTTTATTTTTCTGTGGTAAACTGGAGAATGCCTGTAATATTTTTCAGGAAGGGTTTCTTTCTATTCTTTCTACAGTACCCCTTCCAAAAAACCCCTTGACTTTTTCAGACATTGGTAGCAGATGCTATTATGTGAAGAGGTTGCTCCTTGCTACTTTCATTGCTCTTAGTTTGTCTTTACTCTTACAAATTACTTCCTAGTAAGAGAATTCCATTTACCTTTTTAAATGATTAGTGTAGTGTCAGGTATTCTGTCTACTGTTTGGCAGTTGTTTAATGTAAGTATTAATTAGCAGTTGGCTGCAGTGTCTTCCTTCTATTGTTTCTGTGTAGTAGCCTAAAGGAGAATTCTTAGCAAGAACTGATTCATAATGTTTAAAAGAAAATGAGATTTATGGTCTTACAAAAAAAAATATATTTAGTAGCTCATTGTCCTATCCAGTTTTCCTCTTTTCTGTAAGGAAAGGATATCCCTGTGATACGATTTTTCAATTGGTCGAGTTGTAAATTTTTACTCTATCGGAGTGTGGATAAGTCATAAAGCAGGATATCACTGTGCTCTTGCTCTGACTGCAGTTCCAGGCAACATAAGTTGAGGGAGTTTAAAAGGTGAGCACTTTGTTAACTTCACTTTATGCTGTGTGATACTTGTTCATAGCTGAGGATTTTGCCCTGTGTTTTCCAGTACAAGATTTTCAGAAATACAGTAGTGTTTTTTATTTATAAGCTCAAGTTTTGGAAGATGAACACATGGAATGCTGGTTACATTCCTGTCCCAAGAAAACCTGAAAATAAAGATTAATTAAACCTATTGAGGATACTGCCTTTTATTAAGACTTAGAACTTTTTTGTTTATTTCTCCTCTCTTTGCAGTCATCGCCTGGAATTTTTCAAAGCTTTGAACCTGAAAAGACTAATGGGAGAAGATTGGAAGCAGCCTGAATCAGATATATGGAAGTCTCTCACTAATTAAATGGATTGAGGCATAAATTTGTATAGCATTAAGGTTGGATAAGCTGTATGGAAACAGCTTCTTCATTCTGAGCAGAGTTTGTAAATATCAGATTAGTAAGGCTTTCCTTGACACCAAAATCATTTGATCAATCTTAAAATCAACTGTAAAGTATCTGGGCCAGTTGATTCTAAATGTGTGAAGTATGCAATGGCTTGTGTTTCAGTTCATCTGGGTATCGAGTCTTTCATTCATGCAAGAGATGAATCTGCTTCTACCAATGAAGGGGAAAAAATGTGCTAAAATTACAGTTGTGTTTTCATGAGAGCTCTAAGCCTGACAAGGCCAATATCTGGCTTGGAATCTTTCAGTTTCCTAGAGTTGCTGCATTTCTGCTGTATTTTCACTGCTTCTTGTTTGTTTCCTGGCTGTTGAATGAGATTCTTACGTACCTACTTTTTTTGACTGCAATCAGGAGAAAGAATGCCTCCTTCAGGAACAGAAAAGAATATAGCTATCATGGCATTTTGTGGCCCAGTACTTGCATTGCAAGATGCTGTGGAAATAAAACACTACCCTTTTCTATACCTTCCTATACTGAAGTTTTCCCTTGCACAGGGCTGAAGGGGGAACTTAATCTGTATTGCTTTATTAGCAGACCTCTCTGCTTCAAATTCAGTGTGGAATTTCTAGTGATATTTAGTTACAGAGGATAGATTTACAGAAGGTTTTATGTATTCCAGGAAAAATTTCTGGGAGAAATAATGTTTAGTAAGACCTTTTGATATAGTTGTGTGCCTACAAAAGCTTGTTTATTCCAAGACCTTGTCACATCACCTTAAGGATACAGCTCAGATGTATGAGAATTTTGTTTGCATGCCACCTAACGTTGGAAATACTCTAATTGTATGTGCCTACATTTTCTACATACGGGCATGAATATTTTTAACAGTACTGAATACTGTTAGATGCTAATCTGTAAACTCACAGGATTTACAAATGTTCCGGTTTTGTCTAGCATAGTAAGTGCTGCTTGATTGTGGCTGCTGACTTGATCCTATATAAATTAACTGAGAAAATGGGAAGCTTACTCACTAACCAGATCCTACATCTGAACAGTTAGGTGACTTTAAAATCAAACTTCTTTGGTTTAGTTCAGAATGAGGATTCAGACCAAGACATGGTCCTCAGTTCTTCACTAGAAATAGGACTTCCTGCATCCTGTTGAAATGTCATCATCACAGGGTAAAACGTGGTGAGGTTCTCTAGTGTTGTGAGAAGGATTGTTTTGGGAGTCTCAGAGAATATGGCTCAGTCATTAATTGAGGGAGTATCTTTCAGAAGTTAAGCCCTGAGGATGTGGTGTTGGCGTCTCATCCTTTTGTGTAGCATTTTCTACTGAACAATTTAGAATCCTACAAGTTCCTGCTGTTCTTGTAGTCTAACATCCTGCTCAAAGCAGGGCTGTTATTGAAGCTAGATGAGTTTGCTCAGGGCCTTGTTGAGTTTTGAATAACTCCAAAGATGGAGTTTCAATGCTCCGGGTAGCCTGTTTCAATACACAACTAGTTCTGTTATGAAAACTTACCTGATTGCCATTTCCCATGCTGCAACTTGTGTCTATTGCCTTTTGTCCTTTCTCTGTGTGTCTCCAAGAAGAATGACTTTTTCTCTATTACTACTGATTAGGTAGCTGAAGATAACTGTTACCTCCCTATGGATTTCTTTAAACGTTGTAATTCTCAGTTTGCCTTTTGTGACTCTCATTAGTAAGCACCTTCCACTCAGATAATACTTTTAAGTTGTGTAACTTAAAAGCGTAACTTGCGTTGTAACTCGGAGGCAGCAATGCTGCCAGGCCTTTCTTGTTTATTTAGCTCATAAATGGTTCTAAAAATCTCGTGTGTAGCTTTAGACATCAAAATGCTTGTAAAGTTTTGCACAAGACTGAACTCTAACTCATATTACTAGAAGGATTCTCTGTCCTCTTCTGAGCTTGTATACAGTAATAACCATAGTCCGATGGTCATGTTTTCTTTGCTATCTTTAAACTTGACTCTACCTGTAAATTCTGCCTGAGAAGAAAAGATGGGAATATCCTTTGTGAAGAACATCTTGGTGTGATTAATCTCTGAGATAGAATGTGACTTCAGAGGTTTTTGTTTGGCTTTAGATTCCCTCTTTGTACTTTCAGTTTTATAGAACTATACTTTCAAGTTTAAGGATATTAGGCTTTTTCAGATGCAGACTTTGGCATGTCAGTGCACTCAACTGTCCAATTGTTTTTGCTATCTTTTAATTAGACGCTGTAGATTCCTTGCTATAAAGTGCCATCTGTTGAAAATTATAAGTACTGTACATTCAATTGTTTGGCTTCCTTTCTACCTTCAATCCATGTACAGTTTTCTAAAGAATGGCATCAGTCTGAAATATTGAATAATCCAATAAATGTTGTTTAAAAACATCTTCTAGATACTGACATCTCAAAGCTGCTTTTGAAATTTCAGTCAAAAGTAAAAAACATTTCACTAAACTTTTAGACTTCATTTTAAATGCTTTGTCAAAAAAGTGCGTGCAAACGTTCAAAATGAGTTTACTATTTTTCTCACAAAGGCTGTTTTCACGTGATGAAATGTGTTTTGTATGTAAAGGACAGCAAATCAAATTATTTATTCAGAGGCTTCATCTCATATTCATTCCCACTTCAAACTGACTACTTTAGATTTGACTTTGGATGCAAATTATAAACTTTGAGGTAAGTAGATTACTTTCCCTAAATAAGTAATTTAAAGCAAAATAATTGTCTCTGCAGTACAAAATGTAATGCTAGGTGCTTCGGAAAATGGGAATTATCATACAGACTTTATTCAAGGCACATGCTACTCCACACTGCTGTCAGGTGGTTCACTTGTATGTTTCTAAGCTTTAAGAGTCTGTTTTAACTTAAGTGCTGGCTTTCATCAGAAGGTTTCCATATGGGTTCATGGAGTGCAGAGTTAGAACCTGTGTACTGACTTGTTTCTAAAGGTTTAAAGTTGAATTAATCCCTTGGTAGAAACTTAGTGTAGGAGGGAGTCTCTACGTAAGGCATATGTTAGATGGAAGCACAGTGTCTTGGCACATAGTAGTGCATTCATGGCTTGCCAGCATCACTTAAAGCTCCCAAGACTTTGCAGGGATGAGTATCAATGTTCATTGAAATGACTAGAGAGTTCGTAGCTTTCTTGCTCTGGACTGCCTTTTAACGAGGCCTTGTTCTACACTGTGGAGTCCAGCTGTAGCCTGTCTTTCCTGAATTGCCTCTCTTTTTTGCTGACATGCAAACATGAGGAAAAGACATAACGAACTCTGTTCTGCATGAGTTCCATTTAAGTACATGTTCATTAATTGTTAATCCTGGTTTAGAAGGAATGCGATTCAATCCAGTCTAGCTCAGTGTATGTGTGTATATACATGCATACATACATATAGGCATTCAGCATCGTGCTGGTTTTGTATGTCAAACTTGTATCAAGAATAATACAGATAAATTCTCTAAATTGTCACACTGGATATACTTTATGTAGTATATCAATTTGATAAAATGCAGAGCTGCATGATATAAAGCATAGATCATGCAAGCACTCTATCCAGAAATCCATTTAACTTTGAAATAGATTTAAACACTTCAACCTTGTAAGCACTTCTTATCCATTGCTCTCTTAAAAAAAACCCAAAAAACCCACCACAACCTGTCTCATAAATGTTTCCTGTGGATAATATTTGGCCTTGTGTGAGTTATAGCATGTGATATACTGAGTCTAAGGTGCAGGAATTTTATTACTTCAGAAACAGGGGAATACCCACTGGGGAGTGCACAGTATTTGATTTTTTTTTTTTTTTTTTTTTAGCTCTGCAAAGGCTTTAGAAAACCTTAACTGTGACATTTTCACATGCGAAAATGTCAATGTCATGGCAATTTTTAATTTTGCCGTATTTAGCCAGAATTCCTAAGGAAATGAGGCTGTTGGGTTATCACTACTTTCTTGCCTTTCTGGCAATATTGTCATCACCTTTTCCACCACTGCCACAATAATTTTTAAATCCATTAGCCAATTTCAGCTGAATCAGAGGAACAGACAGCCTCAAAAGATACTGGATTCTTGCAAAATGTGTGGACATGAACAGCTGGAGGCAGTTCCTCACTATAGCACCCCAAATTGAGGAAAAGGAGAGATCATCTCTTAGACCTTATCCTGTAGTTGTAGTGACCAGTACTTGAAGCAGTTGGTGCATGCTTAACTTCAGCTGTAGTACATACGGTCTCTTACCTTTAGACTTTGATTAGGAAACTAGGAAATGTGTGGAACTTAAGGGATATAGGTGCTGTCACAGAGGTGAGCTTAGATTCCATAGAGCAACGCCCTAGTCTTATCTTGAGGTAAGAAGCTTAGGAGACAGAGTGAATGTATAAAATATAAATGTATGAGGAGCCATGTTTTGTTAGTCCTGCTGCTAACAGATACCAGACATGGTAAATATCCAAGCATGTTTTCAGTGCCTTTTTTTTTTTTTTTTTTTAGGTGCTGTCACAGAGGTGAGCTTAGATTCCATAGAGCAACGCCCTAGTCTTATCTTGAGGTAAGAAGCTTAGGAGACAGAGTGAATGTATAAAATATAAATGTATGAGGAGCCATGTTTTGTTAGTCCTGCTGCTAACAGATACCAGACATGGTAAATATCCAAGCATGTTTTCAGTGCCTTTTTTTTTTTTTTTTTTTTTTTTTTTTTTTAAACTTGAGGAAATAATTCCCCTGTTCCTGTCCTTTTTCAGGAGAACATCCCACAGAAAGGATAAGGGATGGTGTTTCTCCAGGTTTAATGCCACAGTTAGTTGAAAACGCAAGGACGTAGTATCAACTAGTCATTGCCTCTGAAAATACACTTCTGGTTTAATCTATTTTCTAATTCAGTAGGTTCTGTTGTGAGAATGTTGATCCTAAAAAGAAGCAGAATGTGAGCTTGAAAACACTGCTCTTACTTAAAATTCCAATTGAGATAATGAATATATTTCTATTGCTTATATAGTGCTCAATACTAATAGGCGTGTTTTTTGCA